GACTTCATGATGCACTGAACAAGTCACCATTTTACTTTTGTAGGACAACACAGGAATCATAGAATGGTTTTGGTTGGAAAAGACCTTTAAGGTCACTGAGTCCAACCATCGAACCAGCCCTAAGTCCAATACTAGACCAGGTCCCTAAGCACGACGTCTACTCATCTTTTAAACACCTCCAGGATGGTGACTCAACCACCTCCCTGGGCAGCCTGTTCCAGTGTTTGATAACCCTTACAGTAAAGAAATTCCTCGTAATAGCCAACCTAAACCTCCCATGGTGCAACCTGAGGCCATTACCCCTTGTCCTATCACTAGCTACCAGGGAGAAGAGATCGACCCCCACTTTGCTACAACCTCCTTTGCATATGGAGAATGCTAGATAGGAGTTTTCTAAACTTATGAATGAGGATGTTAATCAAATTTTGCATCATTATTGCTCTGGGAGTCCTAAGACAGGAAAGATCATGTTCAGCACTATGCTGAACTTACCATCTGCACTGAACAAGTCTATAGGAAGATACTGGGGTTCCCAGCTCTGTCACTGCTCTAATATTTGATGGGTAGCAGGAAGCATGAAGAAAAAACCTGAACTCTCTGCAAGAGAATCACAGGACTTCAAAATAAAATACACAGACTGACTGCAATGAAGTTTACAACTAAGCAGAAGACCAAAAGAGCCGTTCTAGTAAGCAAGAGTTGATACTCAACGCATTGTAAGTTTAGCTCTACAACAAAGAGAAGGCAATGGTTAAGTTTATTTTATCTTAGCCATTGCACAAGCTTCAGTGGCACAATCAGGAAACCATCTGCAAATGAAGGGTCAGGGCTATGAGTGTGCTTATAGAAACCTGCTTCTTTCTTGCAAAGCAGGGACCAAGGGAGAAGAAAGCCATCCCATTCTCTTCTATGTGTTCCCAAATACATCCATGCCAAATGCCCACAAGATTTACAGATAAGTGAATCACTGGAACAGTAAGTTGCTCAAAATGTGGAATTCCCCATAGAGCCATGACTCTTGCTCACTTTCACAGGCATTTTCATCTGCTTATGGACAGTGGGGGTTTAATGATGCTGCCTCCTGCCTCTCTTTAACACTCACACATCCTCAGTAATGGGTGCATCTTTTCTGCCTTTCAAACAGGGTGGAGTGAACAGATCACGGACAGATCTTTGTCTAATTCTGCTGTATTTGGGAAGTACGGCTGGCAAATGGACCAGAATATAAGATCCTCTAGAAAGTTGTCAGGAGGAAAAAAATCAA